TCGTTTTATTAGCAAATCAAAAGGATCAGTTACTTCTGGGACACCCTGTATATGCGCGGTGCTCCCCGGCTAATAGACAAAGTAGTAATGATATTTCAGCAGCTGTGACGCCAAGACGAGTTCTTCGGGCTATGAAGGACGCCAATATTTGATATCTCTACAACCGGAACGGGGACCGGCAGCGCTTTTATACCCATAAAGGCATCTCGCTGCTAAGCATCGTCGGGAAGATCTTTGCTCGTATTCTTCTTAACCATCTTAACAGACACCTGGCACAGGGAATAGCCCCATAATGTCAATACGGATTCCGACGATCACGCAGTACAACTGATATTATCTTCGCTGTCCACCAGCTGCAAGAGGAATACGAGGAAATAAGAACCCATCACTAATCAACCTTTGCGGATTTGATGAGAGCCTTTGGCGCTGTCTATCGTGAAGAACTTTGGAGAACAATGCCGAAATTCGGCTGACCTGAGCGATTCACGCAGATGGTGCCTCAGATCCATTACGGAATGATAACGCGTGTCACTGGCAACGGGGCATTCTCTAAAGCTTTCGCAGTGAACAATGGAGTGAACCAGGATTGCATACTGGCTCCCACCCTCATCAGTCCCTTGTGCTTTGACACGCTGATGGACGCCTACCGCGATGACCATCCTGGGATACACATCACCTACAGGGGTGACGGAAATCTTCTCAATAGCCGGCGCATGCATGCCCAACGCGTCTGTCCACGACCTGCTCTTCGCGGAAGACTGGGCAAACTTCGAACCGACAATCACAATGACAAAATCATCGACACTTACCAAACCTCACGCAATACCGAAACAATAGACTCTAAATCAATTTCTGTGACACCCCACTTAGAAACCTGAACTAATTCGCCTATATAGGCATCACATCCTCACTTGGTACCAACTTTTATGACGAAGTTGCGCACTGTTTCTCCAAAGCCAGGTAGACCTTCGGTTGGTTACGAGCCACTGTGTGGAATTGCTACTGTCTTCACATGAACCTCGAACGGAAGATTTACAAGGTCATCACCTTAATGACAGTACTCTATGGGGCGGGGACCTGGAGCATATACTCCAACCAAACCAGTATATCAAACTACTGCCCAATCTGCGAGCATTTCAGATAAGGAGCAAACCACTGGCAGAAAATTTGCTTCGATTGACAAGCTTTCGCTCAGTTAACGAGTTTTCAATGTGAGTATGTGCCTGTGTCCGCCGTTGAGTCTTGCTCCCAGGCCATGGGTCCTCAGGTGCCTTCAGCCAAGTAGTGAACTGATGCAGTTTGATTGGCTACGTTTCGCTATACGAACGTTTAAATAGCGAGCTCGGTGCCAGAACAGATTAAGCTCGTTAACCGAGGTTCCATCTTAAATGTCTCCGCAGAATACTGCAGTTGAGAGGACAAGACAAGATTTCAGACACGGAAGTTCTGGAGCGAACTGGAATCCTCAGTATCCACGCCTCTGAGACAACTGCAACTGCGACGGAGCGGCCCTTGGTGAGTATGGATGATGAACGACTATCCAAACTGCTTTACCAAAGAAAAGTTCGCTATGGTGCTCTCCGTCAAGAAGGGAAAGGTTGACTTTATAAGAACCCCCTGAAGAACTGTCTAAAGTGACTGTAAGTGAACACGAGAGACCTAGGAGGACCTCGCCCACGATCTACTGATATGGAGAAGGGCAGTGACTACTAGGATAATAATCCATGAACCAAATCGGCTCACAGCGACGAAAGAAAAGGGGGTGGTTCGCAAGCCACCAGTACCCGCAATCCACAGCGTCATCGCACGAAGACTTCCAGCCTGCTCATGGTGCCATTGAACATTCCACGAGCGTTATCCCAA